ATGAGACCTTGATTTCTTTTATGCTGAGGTAATCTTAGAGCAACACTTGATTTATCCTGAATTTACAGGACCGTGACAGATCATAATCTAGTTCCTGGGCATTAGAACACTTCCCTGAAAAATGGGAGGAATGTAGTTCCCTTTTTAAAATTATACTGTTGTTCTTATGGCTAACAGGATATTCTTCATATGTAGTTCTGAGTATAGCCCTGTGGGAGCTGGATAGTTAATATTAGGCAAAGTTAAAAGCACCAGAAAGGCAAAAAGCCGAGTCTACTTTGTGAAGAACATAGAGCAGTATTGCACATGTAGTATGAAGGAAAATATTCCCTTCTTTGTAGATTCAGTAGGATGTATGTATTTCCAAATGTGACTGTTGTCTTTTTTTAAAATAAGAAGATAAATCCTCTCATTCTCAAGCTACATTTCAGAGATGGTAGGATTTTTTCTTTTTTTCCTTTAAAAAAAAGAGAAGAAAACTTCAACCCCTTCGGCCCCAACATTTCACTGTACTCTTGAATCTAAACAGAAAGTACTCTTTTGATTTTTCGACTTGGATTTAGTATTACTGAATAAAAACTCGAAATATTCCCAGTGAGAGGCAAACAGAAGATGCAATATCTCAAGCTGCAGCATAATTTGGTTACTGAAGATTCTGGTGTGCATCTGCTTGGTTAAGCAATAAAGATATTTATTCTAATGCATAAACCAGGGGGTAAGTGAAGTGAATGTCTTGTATACAAAAATCTTTACATTGGTGCTTATAAATTTCAGAATAAAGGTAGTTGCACGTTACTCAGCTGTTTGTTCTTCCAAAAGATTCAGCAGCACCTCTCTGTAAGAGGTGCTAGAAACAATAAATTTATATTCCTCAGCTCCATTGTGCAAAATTACACAGATATGGCAGTTAAAATAATATGATAGTGCTGAGCAATTTGCTTCTCATTTGCTTAACTGAGGATGAGACTGAAGCTTCATGTTCTGAGTGCCTTTCAATCGGGTGTATATATGATTAATGTCGGTGAGTCACTTCTGATGGGAATTTTAGCTTTTTCTCACACGACGAGATAGGGAGACTTTCCCCTCCTCCCACCAGCAGTTTAAAAGCGCTGCAAAAGACAGAAAGGAGGTAATTTTTCAGGTTTTCAGAGTTGCACCCTGTTAAAGGAATTGAGGAGATTGCCATTCTGCTGGCAATTGCTGCACAGGTGTCTGCAAACCAACCAGGACAGCTGAGACCGGGATAAAAGTGTAAGTAGATTGTTACTCGCTTGAGAAACCATCCATTCTCACTGTTTATTTAAATTCAGAATTTAACTAGGAAGACTAGTCGGGAAAAAAGGAAAGGAGGGTTTGGGAAGGAAATAATTCTGAAGGTGCGGGCAGGCAAATCATGAAGGGAATCCTGTAGGGGTTCATCCTGAGAAGCAGTGGAGCTCTCGAGACCTCTTTATCCTTGCCAGAAGTAAGCTGGGGAGAATATAATGCTTTATGTACACAGGTTAGCTCAAAAGTTTGCTGTAGCTGAATGTGGAAATAATGTAGGCATGTCTATAGAACTTTCACTGTGATTTTAGAAAATGTTTTTTCTCTGTTTATGTATGTGTGTCTCTGCATAAGGAATACAATAAGTAGTTTGATTATGAGGTTCAGTTTCCACAAAATTCATTGAATGGGGCATAATGGCTGCAGTATTGAGGAAGTTTGAAGGGCTGCAGTTCACGTGTACCTAGAGGCCAGGTACTCAGAAATGCCCGGGCACATAAATGTATGAGGGGTCCTCAGTGCTTTTTTAACATTGTTTGAATAGACTGCGGAGTTAATAACTACTGATTGCAATAGGGCTTAGGCAACTGACTTGTTTCTGTTCTAGAAAGCCCTGCTAGATCTTTATGCGTAATTTTAGATTTCAAAGTAATGTTAAAATATGGTCTGACATTTAAACCTATATGCTTCAATTAAAATGTGAAGTCTACCCCACATCACTTGTGACACTGAATACAGACCTCCTGAATTAGTGTCTTGTGGTTTTTAGTTTCTGTGTACTGTCTGTCTTGTTAAGCTGTAGCTGTAAGATAGGACAGGGCAAGGTTGCTTGAAGCTTACCCATGCTACTGTAGGCAACTATAACATACAATTATTTTCATGATTGTAGTGATATTTATTATAGATAACATTGCTGACTATTCAGTGACCTCTAGGAATTTAGTCTTGTGTCTTCTGTCTCATACCTTTCAGACAAGCATGTATTTCAGAACTGACTCAGCAGAAAGCATATGGCCGCAATGAGTATAAATGCCAATTATCATGACATTAGTAATGGTGCTCCTGGTTTGGGTTCACATTACTGTTCGTTTTATACCCGTAATTCATTCTATTATGGAGAAAAAATGTCATTCAATTTGTATTACTAGCAGTTTGGGAAAAAAAATTAACCCTTTCGGGGGGGGGAGGGGGAGGTATTGTCTGAAGCACGCAGTGTCAATGCTTTAGAAGGTGAATTCCATAAAAAGAAAAAAGATCTGAGAATGGTTCTGTAATTTAGTGTATCAGAGACTGACTCCTTCCTTCCTCTGTTCCTCACAGCTCTTACAGCTCTGTTTGCTTTTCAGAAGTATAATGACGTGCTCTGAGTGGCTGAAAAAGCTTATTTCCTCCCTAGGCTGAGAGCAGAAAGATGATGAATGCTTTGGTAGTGCACTGCTAATGTGCTGATCTGGACACCGAGGGAGAAAACAAATCTTTACAAAGATATAAAATGGAAAGATTTTATAACCTCTTCATTAGTTCTAATGTTTGCTTTCAGTATTCTATGTAGTATTTTTTTCTTTTCTAAGGAAATCTATAGCTTCTTCACAAATTGCTTTGCCCTGTTGGTTTTCACAATTCATTTTTCATTGAAAATCTCTTACTGCAGACAGAAGACGTTTGGGTCAAACTCCTGGCTGCTATTAAATGCACCCTAAATACTAAGCCTGCATGCTGGTGCACTTATCCATCAACCCAGGATCAACTGTTAGCAACGCTGCAAAGAGTTGCTGAGTATCCTGCAAGGCTGGCATCTCCGAGTTCATACAGCACGTGCAGTGTGGCTCTTTGAATAGTGTTTAAAAAGGCAAGACCAGAGAAAAAGTTCTGAGTGGGTAAAGAAAAGCAGAGCTGTGGATGCATGGCTGAGGAGGACAGTGTTTCTCCTGTAGGCTGGCTTATCTCTTCCCTCCTCTCTATGGCCTCTTCCCCGTTTCCCACGCATCTCTGTCACGCAAGGTTTGAAGCGACTCTCCCGTTGCTCTCTGTTGCGCTCTGGGGAAGAGTATGTGGGTCAGGAGGGGTCGGTTAGCAGTGGCACTTACCAGGGAGCAGCCAGCACAGGGCCACCTCTGGTCTAGGTTTGCACCACGGGCTACCATCTTTGAATTTACAAATCTTGCCACGCAGGCTGCTAAAGGATGTCCCCCCGACTGCTCCCAGATGGCACCTTAAGTTCAAGATCCCCACGCTGCATTCTTGCATCTGTTCGAAGCGAACGGCACCTGGAAAAATAAAACATTTTTGATCACGCGCTCCTGCTGTAACACCTACGAACTACTGTGACAGCCACTTTCTAAATACCCTGAGCAGAACATAATGGTTTTGTTATTCTTCTGAAAAGGGATCAGAAAAAATGACTTGGTACATTGCCTTCTTTGAATTCCCATTTTCTGTACAGCAGTTTAAGCCTGTGCACAGACACCTTTGTTTTTATAGTTTACCTTTTCAAATCTTTATATCATCTGAATACACAAAGGAAATGTCTCTTTCTGCCTTTTTTTTTTTCACATCATCCTATGTATTATATAAGGAGAAGGAAATTACAAAAATAAGACAGAATAGCAGATCTTGTTTTGCAGCAACTCGCAAAGCTTAGAGCCGGCTCTGTTTTCATCCTGGCTGTTATCTCCCATGTGATGCTAGATGGACATGAGGAGCTTTTCTAGCATTCACCATTTCTGTTAACTCTGATTTGTTGAATGGGCAGCTCCTCTAATAGTGGTTCAAAATATTTTGTGAATTTGTGCCTGACGGCGTGATGTAGCTCTGATAGTGATCCCAGAGGGAACAGATGAGGAAAAGAGTCTATAAATTACCACTAAGCTGTGGTCACATCTGCCAGATTTCTGCAAGCCAGCCATTACTCTCGCTGATCTACTGAAGATATGAATGCCTTCAGCTGATGGCTTGTAGGAGGCTCACTCAGGGGCTCAGAAGTGTCTGGTGAATCAAAGAAGGGCAGCCACAGCTGTGGGAAACTGGGGGCTCTTAAGATGCCTGTATGAAATGTAATACAGATTAAGGCAACCAGATAGATAAAATGATGATATTTTATTATTTCTTTTTTTGAAACATCACTTTCTATGCTGTTCATAGAGCTTCATTTACTAATCTTCAAAAATGAATTATGCTGCATAGTAAATGGTCAGTGTAAAACAGTTAAAAATAACTAAGTGATGCCACCTGCTGTCTTAAAATCTTATATAATATTACATTTTATGACCGAATTATCTTAATATCCTAAGGAGAAATGGAAACAGTCTACACTGAGTGTAATGTCAGAACTGTGACATGCTATCTGATCTGTATCAAAGTTATGCAATATAAATATTGATTGTGATAAAATACAGTAGACTATAGAATGTCAGAAGGAAATGTCAATCCACATGCTAATGTCAATCCAAAATAACTCCTCAGTGAATCTACTTTGCAAATAACTAGAGATTTTTTTCAGGCTGCTTTGTTTTTTTATATTTCTGAGACAAAGATGTAGAACCCTGTGGAACAGAGAGTAGGTTGGAAGAACATGGCACACCAGCTCTTTAAAGTGTATGTTTATTAAAATTTATTTGTTACGTAGTGACATTCTTCATGTTATGTCTATATTTAGTACAACTTGTTATCCACAATGAGTGAATGTTTATTAAAATTTATTCACCAGAAGTGAATGTTTATTAAAATTTATTTGTTATGTAGTGACATTCTTCATGTTATGTCTACATTTAGTACAACTTGTTATCCACAATGACTTTATTTTTAGGTGCTTTGTGGAAAGAGTTAACCTGACTATGGACTTCAAAGAAGTTGAGAACCACATTTGTGTAAGACATATTATTCAAAGAGAGTTCACCCGTCATCTCATAAAAGCAGAACAGATCATAACATTTAACCATTGAATGTATACACTACAGTAAATTTGAAATGAAGTTGACTATGGACTAAGTGTTCAGCCTTGAAAGGGTAGCTCATTCAGAAAATATCGAATGGTTATTTATTCCATGTATGTATACACATTTTTAGGTTGGTTTGGGTTTTGACAGCAAGAGTTAAGGGTGGATTTTCTTCAAATGCAGCTATGCCAGATTGCAATTTACAGGTTGCCACTTAATGAAACAGTGAAACATCCTAGACTGATCTAAAGGTCCTGCAGTCAGCAGTGCTTGGCAGGTATAAATAGGTGCAGAACCAGAGAGACAGGATTTGTGCTTGGCATTTAACTCTTTCTCCCTCTGTTCTTTGTTTCTTTATGTAATGGTCTGTAAAGCACTGAGATAATCTCAGCTCCCTGTACTTTATTTTCACTTCAGTGAAAATAATCTGGACCTGTGAAATAGACTATAGATTCCAGTATTGCAGTGACCTGTAACTTCTTTTCCTGAATGGATACGCCTTATTTAGTGTGGCATGAATAAGGGTGTATTTAGATGTAAATGTATCTAGAACCACAGTCTGATAATGAAATGTGTAATTTCTTGTGGTTGTGGGCTTTTTGTTTTGTTTTCAAGTATCAACACTGCAGTGATGCGTATTTCTGCTTGTATGTTAAAAGATACACAATCTGTGCTTTCTTACGCTTTTACGTAGTTTAATTTTCATGGCAAACTTCATCCAATACATAAATATCCATTTTCAGATGTAATACACTAGATCTCTCCCATTCAAACACTAAATAACGGAAGTCCTTCAGTTGCTCCCTCCCTTGGTACTTGGGAGCATATCTACGAGATTCACAAATGACCAAACCGACAGCGAATTAGTTCCACAACGAAAGATCCCTGGAGAAATCTTACTTTCCAGCTGCCTTTTAAATCAAAAGGTCTGCAAATGGGTGTAGCACAGTTCACACGTTGACAGAGAGGAAGCTATGCATGTATTTACAGCCTTCTTGTAGCTTGCCATGCTTTGTTGTTCTGAATTTCTGTAAAATTCCTTCCTCTGCAGCCAGACTGTCCAATCTGGAACATCCAGAAATCACGAGATGGTTTGAAAAATACAGAGATAGACTTAAAAAATACGTACTTGTTGATTCTTTTGATTTTTGTTTTCTGAACATTCACGTATTTCCAAACTTCTTTGCACAACTCTTGAGGGCTCAAACCCTGCTTTAAGAGGCAAAATAAAATGTGAAACTGAGATTTCCATGTATGCGTGGGTTGGGCTTAAAAACAAGGGAGCTTCACTGCAGTTCACTGAGTTCACTGCAAAATAGCGAAGTGATCATCAGCCAAAAGTACAGACAGTAAAAAAAAGTAAAGACAGTATAGAATTGTGATGCATTTACTTACATGCAAATCTGCTGTTGTTACTGTAGCCCTGAGGGGGCATGAACTGTAAACTGTGTGTTAGGCCTTAAATTGGCATCGTCTCCAAACAAGTGGGGGGGAAAAGAACCTAATTTGGATAATATAATCTGTGAGTTCCTATTATATTTCCAGGGCAAATGCTACACTCCTAATTAGAGCATCGGTAACAATTTGAGGAAATGTTATGCCTTTGGCTGTAGAAAACCTTACCTGAAGGCAACAGTAGATTTAAAGCTCTTGCTGGAAAAAGCAGAAGGAGATTTTATTCCTCATGAAAACTCAAGGAGCTCTTGAGGTGATGTTTTAAAGAAGTTGCAAAAACGTACTCATGTTCTAATTAGCACATCCTTCTCCAGGCATGATGACTGGCTGTTAGCAAAGTTTTTCTGGAAATGTCTAGACTTTTGGATAATGCGTGTCTTCCACTGCTCCAGGCTGGCTGTTTGTAAAACTGAACTGCTTTGTATCTACAGGATAATGCTGTGTCAGGATGGCTAGAGTGCTTGTGAGGTGATGGGGGAAGTGGAGTATGAATTACAGATATGGATGATGGGCAGGAATGACCAAGAGGTAGGGAAGATGTTAGAATGAAAGAATAAAAGGAAAACCAGGCTGTCAAAAACTGGCTTCTTTTCAGTCTACCCACCAAGATTTTCTTACGCCACGCTAATCTTGATGATAACAAAGTGCTTCATAAATCCAAAATGTAAATGCAAAGGTGGGGTTTTTTTGTTTGTTTTTTTTCTTATTCCCTGGTGCAGTTTTTAGTTTTATGACTCTTGTTCTTTTCCAGCTGAGTGCTAGTTTCAGGGAAGCCAATTCATGCATTTTAGATGTGAGCAGTGCTTCAGGAACTCTCAGATCTGACTGAAAAAATACAAAACCTTAAGTGAAATGGTGACACAAAGACCTACAAATGCAAGGAACCGTGCATATGATCAGTATTCATCTTCATTCCTGGTATTCCTGTTATGGGAAAAGAAGCACTTCCATACCTTATCTGCTTTTCCAGTTTTGATGCTGAATTGCCAGAGATGTCCGATTCTGAGCGTAAACTCCAAATTGTCAGAAGCTGCTCTTAGGCTTTGAAGTGCTGTTCTGAGCACTGTGTCGTGGGGTGGGGGCTGCTTTGTCTTGCTGCAAACCCCAGGTCTGTCTGCAAGGCGGCATCACGGCTGACTCGCTGCAGTCTAACACCTGGCGGAATTGAGTTGAATGTGGTTGCAAATCACAATTTCTTACCTTGGAGCAGTAATACTGATTGCAGAATTTTGATCTCTGAAACAGAAAAGATCATCTGGTATGGACATATGTGCTAGGTGCCAAAATGCAGTTTCTCTGGTAAGTAGCAGCGAAAGTGCAGCAGTAGTATTGGGGATGCTTAGATTATGTGCTTGGCTGGATAAATAACTGGTCAGGATCATGGGGAAGATCGCTGGGTCAAAATATTTTTTTTTCTCTTCTCTCTTTCTTCATCAGTGTGATACCAGAATGTTTAATTTTACACACAGCGTTTCTCTGCAGCCTGAGATTTGGGTGATGAATACCAGCTTTTCAAGGAAATCTGGTGATTGTGGGATATGTTGCAAGTCCAGTGTAAGATTTTATTGAGTTGGGAAGATTTTCTTTCGTCCCTTCAATATTACCCTGTTTTATTATCTCAGGTTATTTCTGTAAGTCTGCTTTGTGAAAATTCTGTTGCATTGAGTTTCCTTATATGACGTAACAATTTAAATAAAAACATTGGTGTGATACCTTAGATCAAAGTTAGGATTCAATCTATACTAGAGATGATTTGCAGTTTAAAAACAAAGTTCCATGTGTAGTTTGTTGTCAGTTTAAAAAATAATAGTTATTTCCACTTACTAGGCCAAGCAGATAGAGGTACTATGCCAATAAGCAACATTTGCGTATTTTTTTAAAGTATAAATCTTGCATTAAGATAACTTCTTGTGCTTGTTAGAGCGAAATTCAGGCAGCTGTAATTTTTAAATGAAGTCAGATATTCTTCTGAGGAACAAGAATGCTTTTTCCAGTTCAATAATTTTCTATTGTTTCTTTTCTTTTTGCTTCTTGCTTGAATTTCATGCCACAGAGTAACACACTAGCTTCTTTGAATTAAGCAAATATATCTATAGACACTCTTATTTCTCCTGACTCTCTTAAAATGGGTGTAGTAAAAAGAGATTTGCTGAGTGTACTGTTCTTCTTTCCTTCCCAACTGTATCAGCAGTTCCGCAGTGTATGCATGGGTGCTTCTAAAGG